CAGGGCACGATCCTGGAGACCCGGGATCAAATCCCACGTTGGGCTCCCAGTGCATGGAGCCTGCTTCTCCCTCTGTCTATGTCTCTGCCTCTCTCTCTCTCTCTCTGTGACTATCATAAATAAATAAAATTTTAAAAAATTTTTAAAAAATTAAAAAAAATTACAACCTTCAAAACAGTGCTAATGGTACAATTCTATTTCATAAAGCTATTTTTATATAAAAACCTATATAGATCTATGTATTGGAAAAATATCTGGACAATTTTATATCCCTTTTAGCAGCAAGTATATCTGGGAGAGAGAAATAGAAATATTCAAAGAAAAACATGTTATTTTCTAATTCTTCAAGGAATATGTATTACTTGTATAATCACAAAAAATGCTTAAAATGTATTTCTAATTAAAACAAAAATTAACCTGAATAAAAGAGCAGTGCCCTGTCAGATGTTAGGGGTTGGGTGGGAAAAGCAGGGAAGCAGAAAAGCATTATCCTTGGGAGCATACTAGAATAGAATAGAAAGCCAAAATAATAGTCTGAGGTATGTAACATCTCAGTCAGGTCAAGTTTGTAAAATACAGAGGCAGTGGCTTGTATATTTCCATATGTTCTACATAGTTCAGGGGTGAAAGGCAGAGTGAACTAGCTCATGTTGTCACCAATGCCAGTTTTTGCATGAAAGAAGCATCAGGACAAAGTTAGTCAGGTCGGGCTCCTTGACTTTCTCTAGTTAAGGCTCCTCAAGAAGTCTGAAGCCCTGGTCCAGGGTTCTCAGCAAATGGCCCACACCCAGATCCGTCATGGAGTTTCCACCACTTCTTAATTCAAGTGCCTGAAGACCAAACTAAAGTGATGGAGGAATGTAGAGAAAACCTAGAAGAGGTAATAAAGAGGCTAAAGCAGCTGGCCTATGTATAATCCAGGGATGGTAAATGCTTTGAAACCTCATTGCCTCTGACTGGTGCAGTGGCTTGGAGAATGACTTTAAAAGGTGGGGTGTTGGTAGGAGATCCCTGGGTTGCTCAGTGGTTTGGCACCTGTCTTCAGCCCAAGGGGTGATCCTGGAGTCCCGAGATCAAGTCCCACTTCAGGCTCCCTGCATGGAGCCTGCTTCTCCCTTTGCCTGTGTCTCTGCCTCTGTGTGTGTGTGTGTGTGTCTCATGAATAAATGAATAAAATCTTTAAAAAAAAAATAAAAGGTTGGGTGTTGGAAAAAGCCAGCACCATATCATGTTGGTAAAGCACATAAAACTACCCTAAGAGGTATTCTTGCCAAACAAGTTGAAGATGAATCTATGTCTCTGATATACTAACTTCCATTTACAGAAAATACAGAGAGAGGAACAAGCATAAGGACACCACAGAAGCAAACAGAAATATTTAGAATGGGAAACATCCCACAGGACAATTGGCAGTTTCTTTCAGTATTATTTACATGATCACACAAAGCTTTAACAGAAAAAGAATGCTGGAATGATGGTTGCCAGGGCTGGGGAAAGGGAGAAATGTGGAGTTACTACATAATGAGTATAGAGTTTTTGTTCTATAAGATGAATAAATCCTGGGGAATCTGTTGAACGATTATATGGCTATAATTAATAATACTGAACTGTATACTTAAAAATGTTTGAGATGGGGCAGCCCGGGTGGCTCAGCGGTTTAGTGCTGCCTTCGGCCCAGGGCCTGTTCCTGGAGACCCGGGGTTGGAGTCCCACATCAGGCTCCCTGCATGGAGCCTGCTTCTCTCTCTGCCTGTGTCTCTGCCTCCCCCCGCCCCTGTGTGTCTCTCATGAATAAATAAATAAAATCTTTAAAAAAAAATGTTTGAGATGTTATGTGGGTTTTTTTTATCACAATGTAAAATAAAAAGTCTTTAAAAATAAGTGTATCCAAATTAAAAATTAAACCAGAATATAAGAGGAGTACCAAAACTGTTAGATATATTAAGAACTGAGTGGGGAGAGTGGGGAGGTATATTTCTACATTATCCTTGGAGTCACACAACGCATTAAGAAAAGAGGAGACTCCTTTAGATTAAGACTCAAGAGATCAGACAACCAAATGCACTTTGTGGACCATGTTTGGATCTGGATTCAAATGAGCCAACTGTAAAAAGACATTTTAGCGGCAATCAGGGAAATCTGTTTATGGCCTGGGTAAAACCATTTGAGGTGATTTAAAATTTTCCTTCTAAAGTACATGTATTAATGTTTTAAAAACAGAGAGGAAACAATTGGGGGAAAATGTGTTAAGTGAATCACAATCTGGGTAGAATATAGATTTAGCAAAAATGGTGAAGGGAGAAATGACTGAGATTAACAAGAGCCTGAGGAAATAGATGGCCCTGGGGAAAGAAGCAGATTTCACAAGATGGAAGGTAGAATCCAACAAAAGGTCAGGACAACGTTTACCTGGAGGAGAAGTGAGAAAAATTAAGGAGAGTGTAGCAAGTTAGACGTGTTCGGAAAAGGATGGGAGCTTGTCAAAAAGGCCCAGGAGCCAACCTGAAAGAGTTCCCAATGGCTAAAGGTGGAAGAACGTGAACAAAATGACAATAGTATTTAATTAGAGTCCATAGAACAAAAGAAATATCCATGAATTCATACTGATAAAAATAAATTACTGAATAAATAAATAGAGAGGGCAACTTTTCCTCACAGGAGAATTCTAATTACTAAATGCAGAAGGAATGAAAGAAGTAAAAGATTCACTATTACAATACCACAGAGATCTGGCTGTAGGCAAGATCCATTTCTGAGATGCTAAAATTTAGTGGGTAAAAGTTTGAGGAGAAACTGGGTACAGGGCAGCCCACGTGGCTCAGCGGTTTAGCGCCACTTCAGCCCAGGGTGTGGTCCTAGAGACCCAGGATCGAGTCCCACCCACATCAGGCTCCCCGCATGGAATGGAGCCTGCTTCTCCCTCTGCCTGTGTATCTGCCTCTCTCTCTGTGTCTCTCATGAATACATAAGTAAAATCTTGAAGAAAAAAAAAAAAGAAAAAAGAAAAAAAGAAAGGAACTGGGTACAGATGGTCCCTGACTTGTTCAATTTATGAGTTTTCGACTTTGCAATGGTGCAAAAGCAACACACATTCAGTAAAAACTGTACTTCAAATTTTGAAGCTTTATATTTTCCTCATCAGTATGCAGTACAATACTCTCTCATGATACCGGGCAGTAGCAGCAAGCCCCAGCTTCCTGTCAGCCTTGCAACCACAGGATAAAAAGCTGATATACTTACAACCCTTAAGTACCCATACAATCATTCTGTTTTTCACTTTCAGTACAGTATTCAATAAATTACATGAGAATTTCAACACAATCATAAAACAAGCTTTGTATTAGATAATTTTTCCCATCTGTAGGTGAGTGTAAGTGTTCTAAGCAGTTTTAAGGTTGAATATGCTAAACTATGATGTTCAGTAGGTTAAGCATATTAAATGCACTTTCAGCTTACACTGAATAAGCTTGCACTTTTCAGCTTATTTTCAATTTATGATACGTTTATCAGGATAAAACTTCATCGTAAGTTGAGGAAGATCTGTACTTGCATAGTCTCAAAGTTCCTCCTGCAAGATATTTATTAATTACAAATAATAACTTTAAAGAACCCAGCAGACAGTACTTTAAATCAAGGTATCAAGACTAACTGACATCACCATCAATAAGACATTGACATCCTGTCCCTTTATGGGAATGGTGGCAGGATTAGAAACCAATTTACAGTAGGTTGAAGAGTAGACTGTTATTAGGAAATAGGGCCAGCCAATGAGGGCTATTTCATCAAGAACTTTGGAAATGAAGAGGAGAGCCTGTGAGGCTAACACTCATTTGGCTTCTCAGGTTCTGCTAAGTCATGTTTGTTTTTAATTTCATGACTTTGGGCCACACATAGTAGATCAAACTCAAAAATGGCTGGATGAAAAAAAAAAAAAACAGGGTAGTGAATAACAACAGCAACAACTCACCCTACCCGGCAAAGAATCAGGTTCTGGGACTTCAGATCCAACTGGTTACCAAGTGTCTTTGTAATTGACCACCAGTCAAGGCAGTGATGGAGAGCTTTTAACAATACAGCAATATGGTATTCAAGAGATTTTTATGCAATTCAGGGCTCATACCTTTAAAGAGTGAAGTGTATTCTGCATAGAATTAGGATTTTAGGTTGGCTGTGCTAATGATGCCACAGCCCAAGAAAGTTCTCAAACAGAGTTTTTTTAAAGACAGGAAAGTAAGAAACTCCAATCCCTCAAACAACTACAGGAAACTACAAAAAGACTCTCTTTGATCAGTAACTGTTTTACAGTAACAATTACAAGCGTTTAGCAAAAATACACTTCTCTGAATTAGTGTCTCAAAAAATCATCCTCTAATCGTAAGTCTCAAGAGAAGTGGCTATCAATTACTTCACCCTAAGAAAGCTTTCTGAACCTCTAATACTGTAGATGTCCTTGCCTGATTTCCTGTGAAACAGTGCTGGGCCTACTACAGAGGAAGACAGCTGAAGTCAGTATAGTACTGTACCTTTTCTTCAGAAGAGATGTGGCAGGAATAAAGAAAACCAGGCTTGAACATCAAGATATGAAATAAATATCTCATGAAATCTCAACATAAAACAAAACCTGAGTTCATTTTCCTACTTCATTACTTATAACCTAGGTCAGATCAACTGATAACTTGGGAGTTTCAAGTTTGCTTTACCTCTATTCTAAAAATAGAATAAATATGCTCACTACGTACACTGCAGCATTCCTTAAAAGATCAAATAAAAAATGTACATGACAATATTTTGTAAATTATGAAGTACAATGTAATACATTACCAATTATATCAGCTTTGTGGATGAATCAGTATTAGCACACCTTGAAAATCTTTTTAACATGCTCTGTGTTGACACATCCCATGTGGCAAAGACACCATATGTAAACACTTCTAAAAAAACTTGGGAACAGATTGCCTGTTTGTAGTCCAACTGCCAAAGATGTTGAGAATGTTCTCTGATTAGAGGTTTTCAGTAATAATTGCCCCATCAGGTTTCTCTTGAGAATGGAGTTGATAATGCTGAGTGAGGTATGAGGGTCGGCTGAAACATTTCCCACACAGCTGACACTGGTAAGGCCTCTCTTGAGCATGGATGCGATAGTGTTGAATGAGGTGTGAACTCCGACTGAAGGCTTTGCCACAGTCACAACACTGACAGGCTTTCTCTCCAACATAGTCATGTTTCCGCTGATAGCGAATTAAATATGTCTTAATGCGGGGCAACCCAGGTGGAAGGGCTTTTGCTGCTTCGTGGGCTTGGAGATGTTGAAAAAGATGCACATCCTGGATAAAGGCTCTGCCACACTGGAAACATTCATAGTAGTCTTCCTGACTATGAATTCTTACATGGCCAGAGGTATTTGTATGCTGAATGAAAGACTTTCCACCTTCATTGCATCCAGAGGACTTCTCATTGGAATGAGTCCTCTGATGTCTGGTGAGGTGTGGCATGAGGTAGAAGGCTTCTCCACATCGTTTACATTCAAAGGGTTTCTTCCCAGTATGGATCTGCTCATGTCTCTCACGAGCTGTTTGGGTAATAAAAGTTCTTTCACAAAATCTACATCTGTTCTCTTGGAGGAAAGGCTCATCATCTGCCAGTTGGGGACTAGTGCAAATTTCAGTAGTACATTCCTGGGGATCCTTTACTGGAGGCCCTTCTGATTGTTTAGTAAGATCTGAGCTTCTCTCAAAATCATCACTGTCGTGGCTTCTTTCTTGAGTGAGGGTCTTGGGCTTACTCATTGTTACAGGACTCAAAAGTTTCTTCTGGTTGTCCTGGTACAAATCTGATGGATCATCAGGAGAATACTCTCCTACGTTGACACTGCAGAAGTTATCTACCTTCAGATCCTCCATTCCTACCCCCAAGGATGACTTTTCCATAGGCAGGCTTTGCTCTGGAGTTAGATCTTTGGTTTCAGGTCTTTTCTCCCAATCTAAAAGAAATGTGAAAGTTCCTTCTATTCTTTCCTGACAGAGACACATCATTACAGCAGAAACAGAAGAAAGAGACCCAAAATAACAGAACAGATCTTATGCAGATTGGGAGAGATCTAAATGTTTTGCTAAAAGTTTGGATTTTCTTTAGAGACTAGAAGTAGTTAAAACTGTGTTTTACAAAGGCAACTCTCTGTGTGGGAAAGAAATGGACAAGAGACAAAGATGAACATAATGTCCTGGAAGATACAAAGTATCTGAGCAAAAGATTGTGTGAGCAAAGTACAGATGAAACAGTAGAGCCAGAATACAGCTTAGGAAATCGTCAGGAAAGGGATAACTGGACCCATCACAGCGGATTAGATCTTTTAGGAAGTGGTCTTTGAAGAGTAGACAAACGTGGAAGACTAAGAGAAAGCTGTTCTGCCAGTTCTCCTCATAGAGAATACCTCAAACCTGTACTCTACAATCACAGCACCAGCCTCCATCAGCTTTAGTCTGCAATAGCAGGCTCCCAGCTGGTTCCTCTGCTGGTCTTCCTAAAGCCCACTTTCCATAAACGGCCAGAGACATCTTTCAAAAACAGTGCTGCCCAGTGGAATGTCCTACAATGAGGTCAATAATGTATATTTTTTGTCACCTGATACATAGCCACTAGCGACATGGAGGTAATGAACACTTGAAATGTGGCTGGTATGACTGAATTTAAACTTATATAATTTTAATTAGTGTAAATTCAACTACGTGTGTCTAATGACTACCACATCAGATAGCACAGTTCGAAGGAGTCAGTAATACTACCTCATTCCCTGGCTCAAAACCCTCTAATACTTTTTTCACATCTCACTTGTAATGAAATCCACATTCTTTAACATATTCCTATGTGAGCTGGCCCATGTCTATCTCCTCAACATCATCTCCTATCCCCCTTCACTTGACTCAGGCCATATTGCTTTTCCTCCTTTTTCTGGAACACCCAAGCACATTCCAAACTTGGGACCTCTGTATTTGCTACTCCCCCCACCTGCAACACTCTTCCTCAAGATTTCAACATGGTTCCCCCTCCATCTGACTATCCTTTTTTATTTTTATTTTTTTATCCTTTTTTTTAAAAAGATTTTATTTATGCATTCATGAGAGACACAGGGCATGGGGGGGGGGGCAGAGACATAGGCAGAGGGAGAAGCAGCCTCCATGCAGGAAGCCTGATAAAGGATTCGATCCCAGGACTCCGGGATCACACCCTGAGCCAAAGGCAGATGCTCAACTGCTCAGCCACCTGCTGGGTCAGGTGTCCCTGACTATCCTGTCTTAAGCAGCCTCCCATTTATCACTGTCTGCTTTCTACTCAGACTCTATTATTTGTTTGTGTATCAACTATCACCCCCATTAGAATGCAAGCTCTGTGAAGGAAAGGATTTTGTCTGACTTGTTACTGTATCCACAGAATCTAGGACAGGGCTGGCCCACTACAAAGTCTCAGTAAGTATCTGTGGAATGACTGAATGAGTCAAAGAGTGCATGAACTAGATTAAAGAAGACAGTGAAAACAACAGAGAGGTGAATAGAGGAGTCCCCTTGGTATGTCCTTGAATTTTGTTTGAACATCCACTTCTCTGCCCACACAGGAAAAGGCAGAGAGAGCTGTCCTGATTGGCATTACACTGGGCACAATTACTGGTTCAGGGATGGGATATGACCCAAATGAACACTGAAAAAATGAGGTGAAGTGTGTCAAGGGCTTCTAGGGAAGAAGTGTCCTCGCTCTTGACAATGCTTCTTGAACATACCTGCTTGTTTGCATATGCTCTCTCCCCACCTCCCACCCTTGGATGGGAACAAGAAAGGACACCTAGGATTTGTTGGCAGCGTGAAAAGAAAAAATTAAAGTAGGCCATGATAACATCTTTGAGCCCCTAAATCTAGCCATCCATGAAGCCTAAATGAGTAGTATCATAAGCGAATACAATCCTCCTATGGCTTATCCCAGTTTGCATGTGCTTTTCTGTTAATAGGATCTGAAAGGCAACAATGATCCTGGCTGATACACATAGTGACCCAATTCAGAGAAGGAAAGGATTTCATAAAGATGGCAAATGTTATCATACTGTAGTCACAGAGTTTGGAGAAGGTAAAGTCTAGAAGGTTCTTGTCCTTGAGCCATAAGGATATTGGTAGGGAACTTCTGGGGGCTGTAGCACAGTGTGGCAGTGAGAGACTGTGTGTGTGTGTGTGTGTGTGTGTGTGTGTGTGTGTGTGTGTGTGTGTATTGGCAGATGTAGGGGGATGGAAACCAGATTGTGGAGGTTAAGGACGGAAGAGAAAGGGAGTCTCTGGGTGTCAACAAGTCTCAAGAGCTGGCAAAAGGGAAGCAAGTGGAAAGAAGAGTGGTATCACACCAAGGGTTTTTGTCCTAGTTAAAAGAGGAAAGACCTAGGATTTCTAGCTGCAAGGCTAAAGGTCTGAATAAGCACAGGAGTTGAAATACCGGAGGAAAGGGAAATGGGCCTCCCTGGAACTAGGCAGGAGAGTCACTCAGACTGCAGGAAAAGAAGATGAAAGTAATAGTAGGTGCACACTCAGTGGTGAAGCCTTGTGAGCCCTGAGATGAAAGCGTCGATCAGCCCTGTCTCTCCCTTGCCTGAACAGACAATCCCGACTGACTGGGGGTGTCTTCCCATGATTCGTCTCCATGGGCCTCCCCCTCACTACTCACCTTGACATTTGTCTGTATTGATGTCTTCCTCCCTCACATGTGACTCTTCCTCTTCCAGCTGTGAGATAATGTCGGGCTTAGAGAACTGGTACCCTGTTGAAGAAGGAGACTCATAACTTGGGGGTTCTGCCCTGCATCCACAGGAACTCCCAGCCAAGGCTCTAAAGACTCTGAGATAATAAGGAAGATGCAAATTCACACAAAAGAAAAGTGAAGGGGATCCCTGGGTGGCTCAGCGGTTTGGCGCCTGCCTTTGGCCCAGGGCGCCGTCCTGGAGTCCCGGGATCGAGTCCTGTGTTGGGCTCCCGGCGTGGAGCCTGCTTCTGTCTCTGCCTCTCTCTCTCTCTCTCTCTCTCTCTCTCTCTGTCTGTAATGAATAAATAAATAAAATCTTTAAAAAAAAAAAAGAAAGAAAAGAAAAGAAAAGAAAAAAAAGAAAAGTGAAGCCTGTTTCTAATGCTTTGGGCCCAAATGGAGACATTTTTGATCATCATAAGTTCAGGGAGAGGAAGGAAGGCTATGGATAGCTGATCTAGTACAGAGGCCGAGAATGTCATTAAACATCCTGCAATGCCCAGGACATTTCCCCAGAGAAGGAATGATCTGCCCAAATGTCAGTTGTGCCAAGGTTGAAAAACTGCTCTGGAGTAAAAAACAGGACAGTGTGCTGGGGTCTCTACTTCAGCACAGGGGATCTGATGTCATAGCTGCTCAAAATGTAAACAACATGCATTTTTTTTCCTCCTATAATACCTTCATTCTCTTTGTCTGAAAATGCTCCTACTCCCTCTCCCCTAGTTCTGTTTTCCAAACTTCAGTCATTTGCAGACCACCTGCCATGGTGGTCTGCCAATGTTTGTATGTTTGTATCCCCCAAAATTCACCTATTAAAAATCCTAATGCCCACTGTGATGTTATTAAGTCGGCCTCTGAGAGGTGCTTAGGTCATGAGAATGGCATGAATCATGAATGGGATTAGTGCCCTTATTAAAAAAAAAAAGATTCAGGGAGAGTCTCTAGCCCTTTCAGCCTAGTGAGGAGACAATAAGAAGCCTGTGACCTAGAAGACAGACCTCACTTGGCAGTGCTGGCACCCTGATCTTGGACTTCCAGACTCCTGAACTATGAGAAATAAATATGTTGTTTAGAAGCCGCTCACTGTGTGGTATTGTTATAACAGACTGAACAAGCTAAGACACCACCTCATTATTTCCTTATTTATTATATGTCTCACCCTATTAGAATTAGTAATAGCCACCAAAACAGGAATCCTCATCCATTGTGTAACCCCAACACCTATACCAAAACCTGGCACACTGACAATTTCATGGACAAACTTATTAATGACCCTCACATTCTGGGGCTATCTATGTGCCACTCATAGTAACATTTAGTATTCGATACTTTTCTTTAGATTATCTCTTTTAACAAAAATACACTTATTTAAATGGCAGCTTTTTATCAACTTTAAAAACAGAAACTGATACCACTTGCAAAAAAGAAAACAGCTCTGAAGATGATACAGCAATAAATTCAATTGAAATTAATTTTATTGAGTGCTACCTAGTTTTGGTTGCCTATCTACAGTTCAGAGCTTGAGGTCTGCTCTCTCCTTACTAAAACAGAAGGCCAACGAGAGATACTACCTAAAATAAACTTCTGTATAACCCACTGTACTCATTCCACACCTGGGAAGATAGAATCCTGAGTGACATGTAAGATCTCTATTAACCCAAAAACAACAGTGATACAAGAAGCCAATGCCCCACAAGAAGACAGAAATGCCTCCACATCACTGCATGAGGGCAAAAAAGGTAAAACTGATTTATTCCCTCTATTTAAGTCATAAATGTGGTAACTGAGAGAAGAGTTATATTGGAAAAGGCACTCCCCTTTGCCTTCTTTGTGACCAATAGAAGTACCAGTTCAAATGACACACTCTTTTTAAAAATATTTATTTATTTATTTATTTATTTATTTATTTATTTATTTATTTATTCATTCATTCATTCATTCATTCATCCAGGAGCGGGGAGAGCATGCATGCATGAGCTGGCGGGGCAGAGGGAGAAGGAGAGAAAATCTCATGTGGACTCTGCACTGAGCATAGAGTCTGATGCGGGGCTCAATCCCAGGACCTTGAGACCATGACCTGAGCCAAAACCAAGAGTCAGACCCGTGACCTACTGCACCACTCAGGTGCCCCTCAATTATACACCCTTGTGCCAGGTTTGAGGTAGGGCACTTCTATCTCCCCATACAGGTCTCTGACATCACAAGAACTAGAGCACCAGCTTGCTGCCATTGGAATTGTTTGGTTGCCTGTGTCAGGAGATTTCAGGCCCCCCCCAAAGCCACTGAAATGAGGATCCTGGCACCAGTAACAAAAAATATTTAGCTTGTGGCAAGAGGTAAACAATCTTACCTCTGGATGTGAAGAGAGACTGGCTCTTAAACTTTAAGTCTAGTAGAAGACAGTGGAGGTCCTGAAATTTTCATCAATTCCTTCACCCATTCAAAAAGCATCACTAGGAGTCTTCTACTATGCCAAGACCTGATGAAGCCCACCCTTGTCTGGCAGTACAGTCAATTTAAGGGAGCAGATTCTAGAGCTGAATCACTTAGGGTCAACTCCCAACTTGCCACTTTGTAGCTGGGTGGTTTTAGAACAGTAATTTAACTTTCCCATGACTCTGCTTGTAAAATGGCATTATAATAAAAGTAACAGGAAATATACCTCCCCCTCATAGGACTAGTGCAACAATTTAAAGAATTAGGATATGTACAGTGCTCAGACTAATGCCTGATACATATTAAGTATTCAGTGTTAGCTCTATTATGAGTAACTGAATTTTTAATTATTTTTAAAATATTTCATTTATTTATTCATGAGAGACACCGAGAGAGGCAGAGACATAGGCAGAGGGAGAAGCAGGCTCCCTGTGGGGAGCCCAATGCAGGACTTGATCCCAGGACCCTGGAATCATGACCTGAGCCAAAGGCAGACACTCAACCACTGAGCCATGTAGGTGCCCCTAAGTAACTGAATTTGATATTAAAATATTGCCTCTGATTTGGGTTGATATTCACTGACATGGTGAACCACTATTACTGACATTCCTGATGTGACAACAGAAGAGTTGAGAACCACTCCCTAGTGGGCAGAAACCAAGTTTCATGGAGAAGGCAGCCTTACCTAAGAAGACCAGGTTCCTATAATTCTCTAGCATCACCTCCCGGTAGAGGTTCCTCTGAGCAGCACTAAGGTAGGTTAACTCCTCTGGGCTGAAGTCCACAACCACATCCTTGAAAGTCACCAAATCCTAAAATACCAGAAACACTTCCAAATTATCAAAATCCAGAAATTATCCCAAGGAGGGTAAAGGACCCTAATGAGAGAGGACTGAACATAAAGCATTCAAACTGGCAGAAAGCTTCTTATCCAAGTGTTTTAATCCAGAGGGTACAGGGACCTAGTACTGTACCTTTCTTTGTCTTACAGTAACTCTTTCTGAGAGTTCTGCTGCTAATTACTATACATTTGGATTAGAGGCAAAAGATTCTTTTAAGCCCCTTTATAAGGAAATAATGAATGTGCATCATTAAAGCTAAGCAGCCTCAGCCTCAGGAATCAGAGAGAGTTAGATTTAAGTCTTCACTCTGGTTCTTGCAATCTTTGTGAGTGTGGGTAGGTTAAGTCTCAGTGACTCATCTGTAAAACCCAAAGAGCTCATAAAGAAATTTTCCATCTTATTAATAAAAAGAGATATTCAATCTTATTAATAAACAGAGACATGCAAATCAACATGACAAAGAACGATTTATATTTATTCAACTGACAAAAATTTTAAAAAGTATCAGTAAGTCTCGCAATACCAAATGTTGTCCAGAATGTGGACCTATGGGATCTCTTATTAGATGCTAAGGGAAATGTAAATTGGTAAACCACTGTCAACCCAGAAATTACATTCCTAGGTATATTTTTGCTTGTGTGTACTTGAAGACATTTACATTCTTTTTTTTTTTTAGCTAGAGAGAAAGAGCGGGGGGAGGGAGGGAGAAAGCACATAAGCATATGTGAAGTGGAGGAGGGGAGAGAGAGCGAATCTTAAGCAGGCCACACATCTGCTGTGGAGCCCGATGTGGGGTTTATCTCACAACCCTGAGACCATGACCTGAACCAAAATCAAGAGCCGGACATTTAATCGACTAAGCCACCCAGGTGCCCCTGATGTTTATATTATTAACAATGTTGTTTGTAACATCCAAAACCTGGAAACAATCCAAATGTCCATTTAGAGTAAATATATTACAGTATAGTCACACAAAGGAATAATAGTCCAGAAATGTTAACCAATTAACTATAGTTACAATAATCTTGATAACCTATGATTGAGTTAATTAATTTTTAGATTTATTTGTTTGAAAGGCAGAGAGAGCACACTCAGTATGCATGCACACGTACCCTGTGTGGGAGGAGCGGAGAGAAACCTAAGGTGACTCCACACTGAGAAAAAAGCCCAACATGAGCCCCATGACCCCCATGACCCCAAAAAGCTCCCCATGACCCCCAGATCATGACCTGAGCTGAAACCAAGAGTTGGACACTCAACCGACTGTGCCACCCAGGTATCCTGAAGGTTGAATTTAAAAAGCAGATACCAGGGACACCCAGGACTCCAAGATGGCATCGCCTGTACCAGTGAAGGAAAAGAAGTTCATGGAGGTGAAACTAGGAGAGCTGCCATGCTGGATACTGATGCGGGATTTCACCCCTAAGGGCATTGCTGGAGCATTTCAAAGAGGTTACTACCAGTATTACAACAAGTATATCAATGTGAAGAAAGGGGGCGTTGCTGGGATTTCTATGGTGCTGGCTGCTTATGTGCTTTTCAACTACTGTCGTTCTTACAAGGAGCTCAAACACAAACGGCTACGCAAGTACCACTGAAGAGGGCCCAGTGTGGAAGCACATTTGGCATTCCTGACCATGACTTTTGCCTGGCATCCTTGAATCCTTCCATTGCTTAATTCACAATTAATATCCAATAAAAGTTGACTGGTACTCAAAAAAAATAAAATAAATAAAAAAATAAAAAGCAGATACTAGAAGACTACATAAGAATTTGATATATATTTTATTAATATACATCTTCTATGTTTTCAGGAAAACATTATGCAGATCAATGGACAACTGATTTAAACTAGAAGTCATACATTGACTGCCTAGCTCCTACAGAGGGTTTATTTGGCTTTTATTATGGGTTTATTTTATTATTGTATTTAAAATTCGTATTAACTGCCAAGCACAAAAAATTTATAGATTTACTATTATTAACTGGAGTTTTAAAATCAGAAATCAGAAGATCTAGAGTCCTGGACCCACATTCTCACATGGCACCGACCAGCTGAAGCTAAGTCATAGCTTCCCGTTGATGGACACTGTAGGGACACAGGGCTATTCTCAGGAGCAAGTCTTTTACAACAGTGTTTCTCAAACTTTTTTCCTTATCTCCTCCTCAAGAAGTCATTTTAGACAATTTCTTCTAATTGCCAACCTCCATGAGGTTTTTTCTGGTTCTAAAGGAAATGTAGCATATTAATTTCATTATCTCTTAGGTTTCAAAATATGATTTAAGGGGCATCTGGATGGTGCAATCAGTTAAGCATCTGACTCTTGGTTTCAGCTTGGGTTATGATCTCAGGGTCGTGAGGTCAAGCCCTGTATCAGGCTCTGCACTCAGTGTGGAGTCTGCTCAGGATTCTGTCTCCCTCTCCTCCTCTCCCCCTCTAAAGTAAATAAATAAATCTTTTTTAAAAAAATGATTTAACAAGAACGTTAAGGAGAACATTTTTGAAAAAAATAATAAAACCTCATAACAGTATCAAGTCCCTATAATAGCTGCCATTTGTTTCACATATAAAAAGGAGGATAACAGTGCAAACCACATAAGGATTGTTTTGCATGAGCCAACACTGGGTGTAAAATGGAATACTAAAACAAAACAAAACAATTCGAGATAGAAAAAAAGGGAAAATGTTAAGTGTGTGGTATGTGGGATGGTCTAAGTCCAAGAGAGAAAAATAAAGCAGAGAAAGGGGATATAAAGAGTCAGAAAAGGATTTTAAATAGGGTAGCCAGGGAAAGGTTAAGTGATATTTATATAAAGACTTAAAGAAAATGAGAATGTGGTTTGATTTGATAGGGAAAGTGAGATCCCCATATTGGAGAACCAAATCAGAAGAAAGCTTGACTTACCTGGGATCCCGCAGATACGGGACTGTCAGACATCTCTGTGTCCTCCTTTTGCTGTTCTTTGCTGTTCCTCTCTTCTGCAAGTACAAAGTCCTGAGGAGAGAAACCTGCAAGAGACAAAGGAATGACCATGGAACTGAGTCCCGTCTGGCAGTACCCAGAGACATAGAAAGTGGCTGGCCACCCACACCATCCTTCCTGTCGTAGAAGACAGCAGCCGTCCTGGACTTCCTATAAGAGAAAAGCCATAGACATCTTTTCTCCTCAGAATAGCAAGTTCCAAACAAGAGCTCTGGGCATTCCCCAGGTCGAAACTCCTCAATAGCTCCCCACTGTCTTCCAAATAAAGTGGAAGTTCCTTCTTTATGTCTGCTTGTAATCACCAGGGAACCTCAGTTTCTCAATTGTACAATGGAAATAATAGCTATACTTCTAAGGGATCTTGTAAGGATTAAACATTACATATATAAAGCACTCAAGCATTTTAAAAAGGGGACGCTCTTAAAGCTTTTCCTCCATCTTTGTCATTCACTGACCTAGAAGATGGCTACATTCCCTACAGAAACCTGAACCTTGAAGGCCTTCCCTGCCTGTAGTCTTCCCAAGTGCACCTTTCATTAATCTGTTGTTTCATTCTCATATCCTAAGGAGCTCTCTTTCCTTTCCCCCAAATTCCAGCTCCATCAATAGCCCAGGGCCTTTGGCCAAGTTTTTAACTTCTGGTACAATGTCCCCTATGTCCACCTGAGACAGTAGAACACCGGGATCAGAGTATAGATGCTGGAGCCACCTGCCCAGGTCTGAATTCTGACTCTGACAATTACTAATCATGGGGTCACGGGCAAGTTCCTCAACTTCCTTGTGTGTCTGTGTCCTCATCTATAGAATAAGGGTAACACCTATTTCAAGAGCTATTAAGAAAATTAAATAAATTAGTATTTATAAAATGCCTAGAACAATGAATATATTCAACATGTTCACTATTAGCATCTTCAAAATCCTTTTAAGAAATGCAGGTGCACAGAATTGGATTAATAATAATCCTTAATTCATAATATCCATATTAAATCATGTATGACCCTATTTACTTTAAATTTATTCATTTATATGTTTAAGTATAATTAAGAAATGTGAATTCACTACCCAACCCCCAATCTAGAAAATTCCCAATAATTTACATCCACCCATGTGCTTTTTCCTGTCCACCCCCAGCCTTCTCTCCAGAGGTAACTGTGATCTCATATTCATATTTTTTGTCCCCTTGCCTGACTCTGTCTATCCCTCTGTCTGTCCATCTCTCTATAAAATACCCCTAAACAACCCTTTGTTTTTAGTTAGTATCACTTTTATTCAAAGGACTAGGAGGAGTAAATATTTCTTCTATTATTAAAATACCTTTAGCCCAAGCTAATAACTTGAGTTTCCAAGAGGTCAAATTTTGGTAGAGATTAAATTTCCAGGTCTCATATCTCCCACACTTTATGCCCTCCTTTTTTGGGCTGTGTTGTTTTGTTTCATGTTGGCACTAAAGTTTAGGCTGATTAAGAAATAGAACAGGAAGGAGCAAAGCTGGAGAAAAGAGGTACTCTCAGAGAAATAATAAATATTAAAGGCAAAAGCCAAACCCCAAATTTCTTTCTTCTTATATAAGGCAGATTAGAATGGATTATAAAATTCATTCTTTTAGGGATCCCTGGCAGCGGTTTAGCGCCTGCCTTTGGCCCAGGGCGCGATCCTGGAGACCCGGGATCGAGTCCCACTTCGGGCTCCCGGTGCATGGAGCCTGCTTCTCCCTCTGCCTATGTCTCTGCCTCTCTCTCTCTCTCTCTCTCTCTCTCTCTCTCTCTCTCTGACTATCATAAATAAATAAAAATTTTAAAAAAAGGTTAAAAAAATTCATTCTTTTAGTCATTTGACAAATTTTTATTCATCTCCTATTGCATCCAGAGGATGTTCAATTAATGGAAATGGCTAGTTGCTTCCTTTCTCTCCCTCACCTTTCTCTTCACATGCTTGTATCAAATTGGCCACCAGGGTTCCTGCCTCCATGCTGTTCTTAGGCTGTTTTGACCTCACCCAGGTCTGAAGCTCCTCTGATAGGGTGTTCAGAAACTGTTCCAACACCAGTTGCTCCATCATCTGCTCCTTGGTGTGGGTCTCTGGCTGCAGCCATTGACGGCAGAGCTCCTGGATTTGGCTCACAGCTTGGTGAGGCCCAGTCACTGAAAGATACTGAAAATGCCTAAACTTCTGATGAGAAACTTTCAGAGACTCTGGATTTCTTAAGGAGATGGCTTCTGGATTCTCTTCTTGAGCATGTAGATGGAAGAGCTGGGGATTCTTCAAGATCTCCAAAACGTCTGTCACGTGCAGCATCTTTACAGATATGGCCCTTCACAGGATAGAGGTACTCTAAAAGGCAGGCTGCTCTAGAACACACTGTTGTGGAAGATGGTGGGTAGAGTTGTAGCATATGAAAAAAAGATATAGAAACCCAGGACCTGTAGAAATTACATAGAGAGACTTACATATGGACTACACAGTTAGGACTGAACAATGGGGTGGAGGTGATTTGAAGCAAAAGGAATTACTTAATTTCACACAAATGCCTAAATACACATTCACAGAAATTTGCACATCTCCAGATAAGATGCTATCTCAGTCCCATCCCCAGGTCTGGAAAATCCACAGGCACAGGCTTGAAATATTTCAAAAATAGCACTGAAGGGAAAAGAGACTTGAACCCCAAATACAATACACTGAATTAATTTGATGAACCACAGAAGAATTTCACTTTAAAAAAAAATGAGTTAAAATGGTTTTGTATTATACAAAGTAAGTAAAGAGCCTTATAAAACATGTATCCTACAAAGGACTGGATTCATATGCAAAATATTTAAAGAATTCCTACAAATCAGGAAGAGTCATATTAACAAGAGAAAAAAGTTAAAAGATCTGATCAGGTATTGCACAAAACATAGCTAAATGGCCAACATGAAATGGGGCTCAACTGTATTACAGAAATAGAAATTAAAACCACCATGAGCTATCACTACACATCCTCCAGAACGTTCTAATTGAAAAGAATCAGACAATAGTGTTTGAGGGGAGAAAGAAGGTAGAATAGTACATTCATACAAGGAAGGCTTCTACTAATTCTCTTCCAATCTCAATACATAAGATTACATAGCCATCTTGCAAGCCAATAGGCCAGCTTCATTGGCATGCAACCAGTGTAGTCATACAAGCCCCTATGCTAAGAAAGGCCTCAAGCTTCGTTTAATGTTCTGCCGTTGCTATCTTGAGATTTTTCATATTTTAAACAAGGGGCCTCATATTTCATTTTGCATTAGGTCCCGCAATTATGTAACTAATTCTGCCTAGCAAGAACATTATCATTCCTCAAAATCTGTTACTAGATGAAAAAATATCTTTTCACTTTTTAATTTTGCATTTCTTTAAATTAATAATGAAGCTTACCTTTTTATTCAGACTTAATTGGCCCTTTATAAATTACACCTATTCTTTACCTTCTTTCCACTAAGGTGTGTCTGGTGCTGATTGGTAAAGACTATATATAAATGAAGGATATTCCTGGGACACCTGGATGGCCCAGCAGTCGAGTGTCTGCCTTTGGTTCAGGGCATGATCCTGGAGTCCCAGGATCGAGTCCCGCATCAGGCTTCCTGTATGGAACCTGCTTCTCCCTCTGCCTATATCTACGCCTCTCTCTCTATGTCTCTCATGAATAAATAAAAAAAAAATCTTTTTTAAAATGAAACATATTCTTTGTCCTACTTGCTTTAAAAAAAATTCTATCTATGCCACATCTTCTCTTTAGTCTTTGTAGAATTTTAACATTTAAAAAAATTATTTATTTATTCATGAGAGACATAGAGAGAGGCAGAGACACAGGCAGAGGGAGAAGCAGGCTCCCTGAAGGGAGCCCGATGTGGGACTCAACCCCGGATTCTGGGATCACGACCTGAACCAAAGGGCGGCGCCCAATCACTGAGCCATTCAGGTGCCCCAAATTTTAACATTTTAAAGTATAATTTATCACTATTTAGAAATAAATAGGGATCCCTGGGTGGCACAGCGGTTTGGCGCCTGCCTTTGGCCCAGGGCATGATCCTGGAGACCCAGGATCGAATCCCACATCGGGCTCCCGGTGCATGGAGCCTGCTTCTCCCTCTGCCTATGTCTCTGCGCCTCTCTCTCTCTCTCTCTCTCTCTCTCTGTGACTATCATAAATAAATAAAAAAATTTAAAAAAAAATTAGAAATAAATAGGCAATTGCGTTTCATTATTGCTTTATTTAAACATCTCATTTTAATTCTTTGGCTGGAATCCATTCTGGGATAGGGTGTGAAAAGAGTGTCCTTTTTTTCTAAAATCTTTCCTGCCACTACCAATTACCAAGTTTGCTATCCTCCTTCCTTTTTGGGATGTGTGATGCCCTGTCTGAATTTAAAGTACAGGTCTGCAGTTTCCAGGAAAGGATCCTGAGAAAGCATTATTGGAAATGAGTGTGAGATCACAACAGCTTGTCTCCCTAGACTAGCTAAGTTCATGGGCAATGGGGTGTAACAATCCTTTCTCCTGTACCAGAAAGGAGAACTATGACCATGAAAGGCGAACGCCTCCAGTTCACAAGTGCTGAAAGGAAGCCCATGGGCCTCCTCCTCAGAAGGCACCTTCAGCACTCCTTTTTCATACATTCTTAGCTCTGCTTCCCTTAGGTTTCTATATTTTGGATTTCAGTCTTATCTTATTCTACATCCATATCGTCCAAGTGTTAACCACTTACCTCAGTAGTTCTCAACATTTTATTTTTCTTCCTAACATTTTTTTACCCAATCTTTATTTTCTAACTCTCAGTCCCACTGAAATAATCTGGACAGAAGGCTCTCTAACCAGTCAACCAATTGTTTCACAACTTATTTCAGTACTTTTCAATGCACATTGGTCTATTAAGGTTTTCCACTTTTTGACCTCAGTTTTAAGAAATCTTTTTCCAGAAAAATCATCCATTTGCTTGAAACTGAAATATACTAATACATGATTGAACATAGTATTCTTATAATATTAAATCTCTTAAATATGCAACTTTATCCTTTATTAAAGAATGATGTTGCTTTATTCCTAGTTTTTAAATTATTTCCATTGTTTGTTCTTTATTGCCACTTTTATCCCAAAGAGATATTTTTTTATTTTATTTTAATTTATTTATGATAGGCACACAGTGAGAGAGAGAGAGAGAGGCAGAGACATAGGCAGAGGGAGAAGCAGGCTCCATGCACCGGGAGCCCGACGTGGGATTCGATCCTGGGTCTCCAGGATCGCGCCCTGGGCCAAAGGCAGGCGCTAAACCACTGTGCCACCCAGGGATCCCTATCCCAAAGAGATATTTATTCCAGCACTAGCTGCCAATTCCAATGCTATTATTTTTGTTTTCTCATATATTTATTATTATTTTCTTATTCCTAGGTTTGTTTTTTTTTTTTAGTTTTATCAATTATTTTTTGTTCATTTATCTGTTTGGGGGACTTTGGGAACCTCCTGAAACAAATGCATATTTTCATTCTTCTTGACTATTGAAAGCTGTTAATTTGGGTCCTGTGTTAAAATTTACAGGATGTCATCCCTCTTATTTTCACTATTTCTGTAATAAGTCATAATTGCACTCCTGGGAAACATGGAGGAAGTCATGTGAAAAAGTAGTAATGGGGCACCTGGGTGGCTCAATCAGTTAGGCATCTGACTCTTGCATTTCAGCTCAGGTCATCTCAGTGTCCCGGGACAGAGTCCAGGATGGAGCTCTGCACTTAGCTGAGAGTCAGCATCCTCCTTCTCCCTCTGCCCCTCCCCCAAAATAAAGAAATAAACCTTTTTTAAAAAAAAGTAGTAACAAAATCCTAGAGGAGAACACAGGCAACACCCTTTTTGAACTTGGCCACAGTAACTTCTTGCAAGATACATCCACGAAAGAAAAAGAAACAAAAGCAAAAATGAACTATTGGGACTTCATCAAGATAAGAAGCTTTTGCACAGAAAAGGATACAGTCAACAAAACTCAAAGACAACCTACAGAATGGGAGAAGATATTTGCAAATAACATATCAGATAAAGGGCTAGTTTCCAAAATCTATAAAGAACTTATTAAACTCAACACCAAAGAAACAAACAATCCAATCATGAAATGGGCAAAAGACATGAAGAGAAATCTCACAGAGGAAGACATAGACATGGCCAACATGCACATGAGAAAATGCTCTGCATCACTTGCCATCAGGGAAATACAAATCAAAACCACAATGAGATACCACCTCACACCAGTGAGAATGGGGAAAATTAACAAGGCAGGAAACAACAAATGTTGGAGAGGATGCGGAGAAAAGGGAACACTCTTACACTGCTGGTGGGAATGTGAACTGGTGCAGCCACTCTGGAAAACTGTGTGGAGGTTCCTCAAAGAGTTAAAAATAGACCTGCCCTATGACCCAGCAATTGCACTGTTAGGGATTTACCCCAAAGATTCAGATGCAGTGAAACGCCGGGACACCTGCACCCCGATGTTTCTAGCAGCAATGTCCACAATAGCCAAACTGTGGAAGGAGCCTCGGTGCCCATCGAAAGATGAATGGATAAAGAAGATGTGGTTTCTGTATACAATGGAATATTACTCAGCCATTAGAAACGACAAATACCCACCATTTGCTTCAACGTGGATGGAACTGGAGGGTATTATGCTGAGTGAAGTAAGTCAATCGGAGAAGGACAAACAGTGTATGTTCTCATTCATTTGGGGAATATGAATAATAGTGAAAGGGAATATAAGGGAAGGGAGAAGAAATGTGTGGGAAATATCAGAAAGGGAGACAGAACATAAAGACTCCTAACTCTGGGAAATGAACTAGGGGTGGTGGAGGGGGAGGAGGGCGGGGGTGGGGGTGAATGGGTGACGGGAACTGAGGGGGACACTTGACGGGATGAGCACTGGGTGTTATTCTGTATGTTGGTAAACTGAACACCAATAAAAATTAATTTATTAAAAAAAAGTGGTAACAAAAGTAGCTAACACATTAAATACTTAAACAAAAAGGGCACCTAAAAAAAAAGCCCGTATTTAACATGTTAAATACTTTTTTAAAAAAAAGTGTCCCTTGATTTCAGAGTGGGGAAGAGCTTTCAGAGAAGGGAATGGAGCCAAGCCATCCTGGATGAGCAGAGGTTATGGTGGAAGGAGGAAGCAGGGACGGGAAGGAACAAATGGAAGAGAGGTTCCAAGGCTAGAGAATAGCAGAGCAAGGCAAGGCAGAGAGCAGGGGCAGAGCTGAGGACTGGGGCAAGGAAGAGAGGAAGAGCAGATGGGA